CTAGTGCAGACATCGTGGACCTCGTCCACGATCTCCGCACTAGGCACAGGAAAGTGGCCGTCTAGGGCAGGAGAGCTGCCAGCCTGGCCACCCAGGACCAGGTGTGCATGAAAATCAAGGGGGTCCACTGAGACCCCCGACACTGAGCCCTGAGCTTACAATGGCCGTACTGGGTCAGACCAAAGGTCCATCTAGCCCAGTAGCCTGTCTGCCGACAGAGGCCAACCCTAGGGACCCCGGAGGGGATGGACTGAAGACAGTGACCAATCCATTTGTCTCGTGCCATCCCTCTCCAGCCTTCCACAAACTTTGGGCAGGGACACCACTCCTACCCCCTGGCTAAGACTACTCCATGGACCCAACCTCCATGACTTGATCTCACTTCCCTTTAAACTCTGTTCTAGTTGTAGCCTTCACAGCCTCCTGCAGCAAGGAGTTCCACAGGTTAACTATTTGCTTTGTCAAGAACAACAACTTTCTCTTACTAGTTTCAAGCCTGCTACCCATTCCTTTCCTTTGGTGTCCTCTAGTCCTTCTTTATGGGAACTCAGGAAGAACTTTTCTGAATGCACCCTCTCCACCTAACCCCTGCTTTTAGAGACCTCTATCCTGTCCCCTCTCCGTCTCCTCTTTTCTAAGCTGAACAGTCCCAGTCTCTGTAGCCTCTCTTCATCTGGGGCCTGTTCCCAACCCCTGATCATGTTAGTTGCCCTCCCCTCTCCCAGCCTTTCTCTTCCCTTCTCCCACCTCCTTTTCCCAGTCTCCCCCAGTTTTGTTCAATAAAGACAGAGTCAATGTTGGAAGAAACGTTATCTTTATTTTGTACATCAATAAGAAGGGGGGCTAGGGAAGGGTAAGTGGAAGGAGGTGAGGGAGGAATGGGGTACGAGCCCCCGATGGGGAGGACTGGGCTGGCTCTGCGGGTTTCTGGGGGTTGAAGCTCTCCTGCAGCCCCCCAAATTCCCCCTCTCCCCAGATGGGAGCCTGCGGCAAGTGCAGCCGGTCTGATGGCTGAGTGCTGTGATGTGCCCAGTGTGGGTACTCCGGGCACTCCAAGCCAGGACTGCTTTGCAAGCGGGGCACCCCTGAGAACTGTCTGTCCAGGGTGGGGGTCGGGACCCTTTAAGCACAGCCCTCGGCTAGCCTGAGACAGCATCTCCACGCTCTAAGTCCTCCTCTGATGCCCTGCCGGCACTGCTTCCGGCCATCCTTAAGCCCTGTTCAGAGTCCACTCAATGTGGACTTGCTAGTTCGAATTAGCAAAACGCTAATTCGAACTAGTTTTTAGTTCTAGACGCGTTAGTTCGAATTAGCTTAGTTCGAATTAACTAATTCGAACTAAGTTAGTTCGAATTAGCGCTGTAGTGTAGACATACCCCTAGGGCAGCTCACAAATGCCTTTGTGGAAATCTGTGTGGCTGCCCGTGTGGGGTGAGCAGTCAGAAAGGGGCCCAGTGCCAGTGACCAGGACATGGTGGTTGTGGGGAGTGGTTAGAACAGGAGTGGGGAGACAGAACTGGAGAGATGAGTCACAGGCAAATTGGGAGGCCAGAACCATTTGGAAGTCAGGAACTGGAGCCAAAGGAAGGACTGAGTTACCTGGAGCGAAGCCAGAGGGGGTGAGTCTGGGGCCAAGGAAAGAGCAGGGCTGGGATGAAGGTGGAAACACGAAGTATTTCAGCTGTGAGCAGTTGTTGAATGGCTGCCGTGGCTCCTGGGCTTGCCCCTTGCTACCCATGAGATAGGGTGGTCAGTCAGGCCCTTTGACAGGCCAGCTGCCCTTAGTAGGGTGCCTGGAGATGGGCTCTGCTATAGTGTCTGCATTCTGCCAGCCAGGCTGTGAGTAGTCCCCAGACAGATGTCTGGTGCTATGTCTAGACTGCAGGCTTCTAAAAAACAGCATCTACACATCAAATATGATTACTATGGACAAATGGCCACCAGAGAACCTGTGCTTTTTCCTATTTCGTTGTCTTTTGAAACAACTCCCTCTTCCCCATCCACACATGCCTTTTTGTGAAAGAGCTCTTTGGGAAAAAGGCTTCTTCCTCGTAGAATGAGGATTACCAATGCAAGGAAAACCCCTCTCTTCGTTCAATTTTTTTCAAAAGAATGCAATAGCAGTGTGGACATAACTCAAGTGTTGCTGGAAAAACAGACCTTTTTCCGAAAAAAACTCTGCAGTGTAGACATACCCTATGTCTGTGGTCAAGTGTGGAGATAGTTTGTTTCAGATTGACAGTCCCATGATGACCCCAGTTCTGACCCTGCTCTTGCTTTTCCCCACATCCCCACAATACCCTGGGTGAATTCCAACTGGCAATTGGCTTCCACCTTCCAACGTTGGAAGGGGCAGGAGTGACTGTCCATGGGAAGGCTGGAACAGACTCAGACATCCAACAACAGTCACACCAGCTGGGAGCTGCTTAGAGATTTCAACAGCTGAGGGAGGAGAGAGGCTGAGTAACAAATCCATTAGCTAGGAAAAAAGTAAAGTGTAGATTTAAGTTTATAAATTTGCTGAATGTGGGGGATTTAATGTTCAGATCCACCCTGATTACTCCTACATCACTCGTGCTCCTCAGTCTATTCACTGCATCCTTTGCTCTCTGCAGAGAAAAAGGAGAAATCGTCCCCGTTTGCTGAATGCCCGAACTCGACGAGCTGCACAGGTATCTCTGCCTCTCCCTGTCCCTTCCTGCTCCCTGAGGGTTCCCCGCTGTGCCAGTAACATGGGAGGTTTCTGCATTTCCAGACCGGGACAAGCTGCGCCTCGTGGGAGGAGAGGGCAATTGCTCGGGCCGAGTGGAGGTTTGGTACCGTGGCTCCTGGGGCACAGTCTGTGATGACTCCTGGGACCTGGCGGATGCTAACGTGGCGTGTAAACAACTGGGCTGTGGAGCAGCCGTGTCTGCCCCGGGCGAGGCTGCATTCGGCGAGGGGACTGGTCCCATCTGGGTGGAGACGCTGGATTGCAGAGGGACAGAGTCATCCCTCTGGGACTGTCGGGCCAAGCCCTGGGGTGACAGCAACTGTGGCCATAAGGAAGATGCTGCCGTGAGTTGCTCAGGTGAGTGGCAGCCGACGTCTCTGTGACATGCTGTGAGGTTCAGGGAGGAGGATGGACCCAATTGCCCCCCTTGCTCACGGATTGGGCCCTTCCTCTCCTGTGCGCTGGAGCATCATGGCTGCCGTGGGCAGAACCTTTGTGGGTCGGGCTGGCTCAGGCATCGGCCCAGGGAGCTGCAGGGTCCATCACAGGCCTCAGGGCGCAAGTGCTGGTTTGTTACCAGTGTCTCAGCACAGGGGCACCTGGGCCCTAACTCCCCGGCGTGCAGGCGCCGCGCTGCTGGGGGCGTCTGTGGGAAAGAGAACAGGTGATGTCTGGACACCCTGGGGACTTGCTCCCCCAGGCAACAAGCACATTCCCCTCCCCCGCCGCCAGACTCCAAGCAGCTCCACTGGCTGGAGCAGGTAACACCCCACCTCTTCCCGCAGGAGTCGCAGCGCCCGGGGGCCAGGGCTGCAGGGGGGGAGGTGAAGCTGAAGACTGAGGCCCAGGGCTCCTGCCCAGGCCTGTGAAATCGAAGGGCCGGGGACACCAGGGTGGGAGCTGCAGGCCCCGCGGGAAGGGCCGGGGACACCGGGGTGGGAGCTGCAGGCCCCGCAGGGCTGGAGGTCTCATGTCAGACGATTTCAGCTGAGAGGTCAGGGCCCGTGACTGAAATAGCAGCCTGGTGCCCTGAAGTTAGAGTCACTGAGGGTATGTCTACACTACCCTCCTAGTTCGAAGTAGCAGGGTAATGTAGGCATAGCGCACTTGCAAATGAAGCCCGGGATTTGAATTTCCCGGGCTTCATTTGCATAAGCGGGGAGCCGCCATTTTTAAAACCCTGCTGGTTCGAACCCCGTGCAGCGCGGCTACACGGGGCTCGAACTAGGTAGTTCGGACTAGGCTTCCTCCTTCGAACTACCGTTACTCCTCGTGTGCGGTGACTCTGCCTGAAGCTTGGGGCTGGACATTGAGTGACTGGGGAGTTCTCCGCCTCCCCCCGCCCAACAACTCTCACCAACCTGTCTCTCCCTGTGGCCTTTTCCTTTCCATCCAGCTCCCCCGCGCCGCCCTGCGACCGACAGTGGGACATTCACGGTGCCCGTGGTCGTCTGCATTATCCTGGGGGCCCTGCTCTGCCTGGTCTTAATCATCCTGGGTGCGCAGGTGCAAAGTGCCAGGGCCCAGCGCAGAGGTGGGTCCTGATGGTGTCACTGTGTGAAATGCCCTGCAAGAGATGCAGCTGAGGGAAAGGGGCACTGGCTGTAATGAAATGCTAAACTGTGTCCTGTTGTTCAGCCAGAGCAGTTAAGTTCAGTATAAATTGTGCAGCCATTTATTTTAGTGCCCCTCAGCCATAGCTGTCAGGCCAGTAAGGGAGCTCATTGTGAACACACCTGTCTGGGAAGGAAGCTCTGGAGCCAATTTATACCTAGTAGAGAAACTTCCCTTCCTAAAACCGCCCTGCAGAAGGTGAACATGAGTTGTTGTTTGAAGTTCAGCAGTGCTAGAGGAAAACAAAACCAGAAGGGAAACAGCAGCAGCAGTTGCTGACAGAAGAAATAGTAACAAAGGAGTGATAAAAGGAGTAAATTCCAGTCATAAGTAAAAGCCTTACAGCCTACATGCAAAATATATTGACAAATTCACATTCCAAGAGACATGGAATACCCAAACAAAGGTTCATGGTATAATAAATGCAGGAAACATGGACATTTTCCTATTGTTTGCCACATTAAAGTAATCAGGAACTTGATTCATGTTGCAATCAAGAGTGATTGTTTCTAGGGTTGATCACGTGTGAAGATACAGAGCCCGCCTGGGGTGTGAAATGGAACATTCAGAGAAACACTCTTGACTTCAAAATTGATTTAGCAGCAGATGTTTATTCACAAGAACCATGGTGGCTCTGACTCACCCTGACGGCATTCGGAATTGCACCAGCCAGTTCACCCCAGACACCATGTACAAGGACAAACACTTTGCATTCAGAGGGCATGTAATTGGAGGATCAAGGGCAACAACTTTCCACTGCAGCCAAAGTGACCATTGTGACAAAGGTGGACAAATGAAGAGGATTTGGTGACACAGGATTAATGTCAGTGAAATAGCCATTGGAGCAAACCCCAAAGGGACATAGACCCTGTCACCAGGGCATTGAAACAGAGCAGGAGGAATGTGCTGGAGGGGCGACTCCTGTATTGGCAATGGGTCAGGGAGGGAGCCATTGCAGACTTACACCTTGTGCCTCAGAAAGAAGAACCAATGGAGCAATCCCTGCAGCTGGAAGATGCAGAACGAGACGGCAATAATACCCATGGTTTCCAAAGGGGCTGCAGCCAGGCCTTGTCACCAATGTCTAGCCAGATGACCAAGTTGTTGCGTTGGGTCAAGTAACCAGAAAAGCGACATGACTGGGAAACTCTTAACCCTGAGCTACAAAGGCAGCACAATAGGAGGGTGGGGCCAGCCTCTTCCCCAGGGAGGGGTGCTGATCTGGGCTAGACAGAAGATTATGGGTCACATGACAGGAGGGGCAGATCCGCTAGGTCAAGGGAGGCTCAGGGACCCCTGGTGCTGCTGTAGCTGTCGGGTTGCAGGACTTTGCGCGGGAAGCTTTTATGTATCCTGCCAGTGCAGGTTGTGGAACTCCTGAGGAGGCGTGTGATTGGTAAATCCTGCCTGCTCGCCCCCGCAGGGATCTGAGCGGGGCAGAGTGAAGCTCCTTCCAGGGGATGGTCTCCCAGAGACGTGGGCTTTCTGTGAGCCGCATGGTGCGTGGGAGCAGAGCGGGGGCTGCAGCTAGCGCAAGGCTCTTGGCAGGGCCCAGGGAAATGATACAAAAGGATGAAGGAGATAAAAAATCTTGTCAGACAGTAACAGGCTAAGATTCCCATTGCCAAGGCGCTGCACACGTGAGCCGGCTGTTCCCCACACAGGCTCTGGCAGTACAAGCACAAGTGCCACTTTGTTGGTCGGTGAAGGCCCCAGACTGGACAGCAGTGATTTGGGTGGTATTCGGGGGAAAGGGGGAGAGGCACATTTATCAAGGGACCAGTCAGGGCGAATGTCAAGGGAAGGTCAATGCCAGTGAAACAGTCAATAGAATAAACCCCAAACAGACAGAGCACTGAATCTAGACTGGACAGATCAGTAGGAATGTGCCGGAGGGACTAGTCCTGCATTGGCACCGGGGCAAAGGGGAGGTCTGGATGGTCTCAGAGGGTTTCCCAGCTCTGGGTTCTCTGACCCTGTGCAAACCCGGCCCTTTGTTTCCAGGCTCCAGAAGATCCTCGGACCCTTTCTCTGAGGCGGTGTACGAGGAGATTGACTATGACCTGATGAGAAAGGTGCAGCTGTTCGGTCGCTCAGGTCTGTGCACGTCATTTCTAGCAGGGAGCAAACCTCCAGGCCCTTTGCAGACTGAAACCCCAACCCAGAGCTAAATCTCCTCAGACTTCAGCCCTGTGAGTCTGGGATGGCTGCTGGCCCTGGCTCTGTGGGGAGACCAGCAGTGACTGGACTCAAACGCAGGCGATTCCTCCTCAGCAGAGCCTGCTTGTGTCCAGCATGGAGCCTGGGAAGGTCACTAGTTATGGGCCAGGAACGTGTCCTCCCGTTCCTTCCTTTCTGACTCAGTGCCCGTCAGTTGGGAGGCTGGTGCTCTGGTTAGCAACTTATGTGGCTGTCTGAGCACGGCCAGTGCCTCTTCCCCGGGCTGACACCCTCCCTGGCCTCTTTGCTAATGTGGGGGTTGGTCTTAGTCAGAGTGTTTTGTGTCGGGGCCACTGACCCGCAGAAAAATCTGTTGGGTGCCACACACAAGTGAGAAGCGGGGGGGGGGGTGGGGGGAGACCCCCAACTGAGGAGAAAGACACTCCCCACATTCCCCTCACACACCAGAACCTGGGGAGGGGCCCAGCCCAGTAGATTTTGTGTGCTTCAGCCCCCATGGGGCCAGTAGGGGGGCTGGAGTGCCAGCATTGGCTCCCCAAAGCTGGGGGGGACCCTGCCCGGGGTGGGGCTGGGGGAGGAAGCCAGAACCAGGCCAGCCAGGGAAGGCTTCCAGACCTTGGGTTCCCCACCCCTGTCTTAGGATCGGCCTCCCACCCTGAGAGGGCCGAGGCCCAATCTGGCCTCAGAGCAGGCCAGGGGGGACCATTAGCTCACCAAAGAGGCACACATGTGACTGGGAGTGAAAACCTGCCCCAGCTAGTGCCGAGGGTCCCAAGGAAACCAGTGGAAGGCAGCAGGCCCATGTTAAAGGACTCGGTCAGCCCTTCCCTCACGTCATGGGCAGTAGGGGGGTCCCTCAGCATTTTCCCAGTTTCACTTAATCCAGGCCAAAGCAACAGTTCCCGTGACAAAGGGGTTTCACTCTAGAAAAGTCTGAGCCAGCCTCTTGCCACTCAGAGTCGCTGTGAATTCAGCATCTTCTCTGGAAGAAGCAACACAGCGAGACCATAAATCCTGCTCCAGGACCTGGCTCTGTCGGCCACTGGCCAGCGCAGCTGCTCTCACTGTAGTAACATCCTGCTTCCCGTCCCTCCAGGCTCCTATTCAGATGAGTCCATGAGGAAGCTGCCGTATTACACCGGGGACAGCGAGGGGGAAAACGATGCTGGATCAGAGCAAGGTAACAGGGGAAAGGGATACACCAGAGACAGGACCCACCCCTGTGAGGGAAATCGAATTTACACCTATTTCTGTCCCAGCTTCGGATGTAAACGTGTGATCAATCCTGCCCCCTTTTCTGTGTGGCTCATGGTGCTCTCCCCAGGGGAGGAGCTTCAGGGAACTGGGCAGGGAAATATTTACCTGGCATGGAAGACTGTGACATTCATAGCTGGTCTCTGCCACGAAACAGGCCCTGTGATTTTATCTGCCTCACGAGCTTCACTCCCTCATGCCTCCCTGGCATGAGCATGGAGCCCAAGTCACAATCTAGCCTCTCTGAACAAATCAGGTGGGTTCACAACAGTCAGTGCTGGTGCAGCAGCCGGGATCTTCCATTGAGC